GTTGGATTAGATCACATCTAAATAAAATACATTTTCCTTCAAAAAAATGTGAAAATGAGTATTCAAAAATATCAAAAAATAACAGCTTTAAGAACAAAATTAAACGGCTAATTTAAAGCTCCGAACTCAATTATAAAACCACAAATTAACATTCAAAAAACAAACTCTATAATGACCAGAATGCAACTAAAAACGATTGGTTTTTGCTTGAAAGTCAACGACCTGAGATTACATAAACCGAGGACATGCACCTTAATGCTATTTGTACTCAGATTAGTCATGATCATTAGACTGGAGTGCACGAGACTTATCTAGATTTAGCGAATCCGAGGACTGCAGAGTCTACAGATGCACGTTTTTTTTTCATTATTCGGTATTAACTGGCCATGTTGCTGTCGTTTAATGTTTTTTTTTTCATTCGAAATTGGAATATATTTAATTATTTAGTTTGTATTAAGTAAATTGCTTTGAAAGTTATTCCGGTCGAAAGTAAGATGATGACGTTGCTATGAACGACACTAAAAAGTATCTTAGTTGTTGTTGTTTAAACTTGTTTACTCTCATTTAATCCTAAATGAGTAAACAACAAAACAATTTGAAACTACGTGTTGCTTATACTGATAATTTTCAAAAAAGTTACATAACATTTTACTCGACCCAAGAATAAACCCGAGGCTTCTTCTTCTAGCTTAGCAATCATGCTTGAAGCCACTTAAGAACATGTAGTACCACGAACCAAATAACTCCACTTTAACTCCCACTGTTTAGCACTGTATTACACTACTAATAAACGTTGATAAGTAAAAATAACACTATCATAATATCCATAAATTACGACTTGAACTGAAATATGACGTAACGTTACAGATATGCAGAACCTTTGTGAAACAGGGTGTAAACTTCATGCTGTGTAATTAGGTAGAGTTGGCCAACGCTCCACACACTTACCGCGAACAGTGAACGTGAACTATTGACAACATAATGTACCTTTAACGTGTCACCTTATTATGTCTAAGGAGAAAAGACAGGAGGGTCTATTAATTAGGCACTTCTTCTCTGACGTAGCAGTCGCATCTTAGTCCTTACTAGGATTTTGTTCAGTGTTGTACCCACAACACTGAACAAAATCGAATGCACCCGCATTAGGTTCGTTTGAAGGACATTAAAATAAAAGGAATAATATTTTTATTAGACACGTATTTTTTCTTTACTCACAAAATTAAATACTTTCGACGATATATTAATTTGAAACTTCGTGTGACGTCAGAACGTGCTACATTTACTTACTTAACGCCATTTTACCTTAGTATTTTAACTTTAATTGCAAAACAAACAAATACGTGTCTAATATATTTTCATTATCTAACTGACGGACTAATTAGACTTTTAAGTTTCATGCCCTGGCAACCCTTTCAAAGACGCAATGTCCATAATTATGAAGACTACGCATAAATCCACAACAACAATCTTTAGGTCCCACATCGAATACTTTTGTACGAGAATCGCAATCTCGATACGTTTGTTATAGCTAACTAAATACTCAAATAACAAATACTAATAATAATAAATCAGATATTAATCAACCTAGGTTTTCAGTTAGAAAAAACATGTCACACTGTAACTGATTATAATTATTGGTCTAATTACCCAAAAACACTTGTATTTTTATTCGAAACTGTATCTTAGTTATCTTAACTTGCCATATCTATTTCCTTAATTTCTAATTTAGCATCTTCCGCCATTACAGATTATAATTTTCTGCTCGACATTAATTTACGTCATTAATTGATTTTGCAATTTTAATTTAATGGGTTACTAAAACAAAAGAAACGTGATGAAAAGTGGCACAGATTATAAGCAAAATATTAATTGGTTCAATATTTTTTTTATTTTTTCCTCTTGACATTCTAAATTCTAATTTGAAACATTATCTAGTAATATGTTTTCGAGAAAAACAACACCTATTGTGCTGTAAACAAATTGTCACACTTTGAACAATAAGGCTCGCCGAAATTAATAAACTTTTTCAAACAAAAATCTGTGAATCGATCTACATTTTAATGGATGTAAATCAGTAAAAAAAATGTACATCATTAAAATACATATTATTTCAGTTTTTCAATTAGATTTCGTTAGTCAAATTCCATCTAGATACATAAATATTACAAAATGTCTAAAACATTGCAAATATCTATTGTAATAATATAATTTAGTTATTTATCAAACCAAAAGATCGCATGAAATACTTAGAACCTTGATTTTGATTCGTTTAGGCCATTATTACTAAACTGAAATAGCAAACCTAGGCTATGAGGAAACAACTAAAACAAATTGGAAATCTACTTTGTTGTGTACCGTATCGATTTCAAGGACATTTCTAGTACTCTATTTGAATACATTTCCTTTCTATTACAAAAATATACCTTTAAGTCTGCTTACCCATCTTTGCTGTCTGTTTCTTCTTTACTTTGACATTATCTCCTTGTCTTTTGGTTTAATCGATTTTCTTTTTCTTTTTCTTTTGCTAATTTTGGTTTTCTGTAATGGCATGCGTCATTACGTCTTCATTTTTGGGTCACTCTTGCGGAATCTTGCGACTCTCTGAAGATGCCGAAAAATTTGCTTTTTCAAAATATTCCTTAACCAGCGCTTTTTCATGTATAAAGCAGCTGGTACATAAATAGATTGCACTAAACTTTCTCAGTGTTTACATAATTTTAAGTAATAGATCTAACAAAAAACTAAATAAGTCTAATCTTAAGTGCACCAAGACTAAACGTAATAGATAGACAAGAACAAATCGTGCTTCAATTAAAACTTAATTGCGATGTTTAAAAACAAAAGAGTAAACCAACGACAATCCTTACGTAAACACCGAAAACATTCCTCGGATCCTTATAAGGGTGTTTAATACAGAAAAGAAATATAATAAACACCTTAATATTACATAATACAAACGAAAGTTCTTACCAAACACTTTACGACAGTAATAAATTTAAAAAAAAACAATAGGGTCTCACTCTCCCTTTCCGCACAACCAAAATATTCTCATAACAATAACAAAACCAAGACAATGCAGGTTATCACCGATTATTAAGGATTCAACACGGAGTTTAGCATTGAAACTGTATAAAACAGCGAGACTAATCTGCAGGTTGCATGCCAACACGTGAAAGTGCAAGTTGCAAGTCGTGTCCCTGATGTAGGTGGACACAAACTAACGTGATACGAGTACATACGATTCAAACTGATTGATTTAAGAATGAAAGAAGTAGGACACTTGAATAAGACATGAGATTGCAAAAGATTTGCCCTGGTTTTTAAGGCTAGCGCCACTAGTACATACCGATGCATCGTCCATCTTCATAGTCCATTCCAAAGCGTAGATGACAATGGATTTCGTGCCAACGGTTTCACAATTGCTGAATGACACGAAAATGTTAGGGAAAATGAAGATAAAGTTTTCACAGCTAGTTTTAAGGCTACCAAGTAATACCCAGATACTAAATTATACAAGAAGTATGGTATCTGTAAGTGGCCGGTGCCGGTGTGCCGAATGTCCGGTGTTCTCACTTCAGTCTACTGCTAACAACTATCTTACAAATGTATTGTGTATTGTATCAACGGTTCCATATGCTAACGTAAGAAGAAAATGTAACAAATTCTCCTTAAAGCATTGCCAATATGAAAAATCACAAAGAAGGAAGACCATCAAAAAGAATTTAAGCAATACCAACACTAAGTAGACTAAGTACGTAGATATATCTTGGACAGTAATTAGTTGTAGCCAACAGGTGGCATCGTACGTCATAGATTGAAATGCAGTTAGTCTAGTATTTGCTAAGGCTGCTGGGCCTTTCACAACAGCGTGCTTAACATTCTTGGTATCGAGCAAAACCGCGCCTGCAACAACTCAGTGCCGAGCTACCGACGTGTTTTACTTTACAAACTTGTTGATACTAATACGTTTGTCAATTGTACAATTTTAATTGATGACGATATTTGTATTCGAAAACAAGTCCGGTGTTATGAAATGCGACTCATTAAATTACTAAATAACTGTTGTTGCAACAAGAAACAGATTATGAGCTAAATAAAGTTCCTTTGTTTACAATACCAGTGTACTTAGATAGAAATAATTCCTTGTATGCATGCTTCAAATTGGTATTCATACAGTTTTTTGTATGACAATGATGGAAATTTTCGAATTATGTACATTTTATAGTAAACATGCGATTGTGCGTCAATTTGTTGGGTGATCACAATATTCTTTGAATGGTAACGCATTCAGCCGTCTTTGATGTATACTTTTAGCATGAAGTCATTGATGTTGAAAATATCTTCATACAGGATGTTGATATTCTCTCCCTTTGCTTCTGCTGAAACACTTATGACGTAATTTGCAGTGTCTTATTTCAGTCTGAGTCACTTCTAGGAAAATGATTTTCTTTTAACACTGAAATCTGGACCAAATTATGTACAGTTCAACCAATATCCGGATTTATGTGTATGTTATAGACACAATATTGCAGTGTGAGTCAGCGTACATTCAACGTCGCCGGAGATTTACCTTGACATTGATTTAAAACACGTTCTAAAATACTCACTTTAGCCTAAGCTAAGAATACATACAGTGCTGATTTTGAAATTTGTAAACTAATAACAATTTTGCACTACGATATTGAACAACGGGACCTATTAACGGTCCTTGACGAAAACCATAAACGGTTGACGTACTTTATTAAATTTCACCGATCATCACTGGTGTACCGAGCTGTATAGCGGTGTAATGTACCCGACATATTTTAGAGCATCCCGTATGTGGCGAAACAGAACAATATTATTGTTTACATGATTGTTTTCTTCGTCACCTGAATACGGACGCACCGCGAGCCGCGCGCACGTCAGTAATACAACAGTATCGATCAAATCACCACATTATTGGTGTAAAAGCACAAAATGTGCATTATTCAGTGTAGAAGATAGGATGTGAGTGCACCATGCCGGGTGGAGGGAACTTGGTGAGGACCGAAAGGTTCCGAAAGGCGCCGCGTACACCACGCACCGCGCACGCGCGGTACTACTACACTAGGTCCCTGGTATTGGACTCTCCAATTAGGAAAAGACCTAACACACCTCGGCTAAGGTGAGATTAATCCTTCTCAATTTCTACGAAGAAGAATGGGTGTTAACCAAAATAGATGTTTGATATGAGTATTAGTTGCATATTGCAGCTTTATCTGAATTGTAATGTGACCTTTATGAACAACAACTATGAAATCGGGGATAACCTCTTAATTTCACAATATTTTGCGTTTATTTACAAAGCGGTGTCATAATGAAAGTCAAAAGGTCAAAAGCTTTTGGAGATTCTTCAGACCTTAATTAACTTATTGTAAAATTATCAAAACTGTACCCATAATAACAATAACATTACCTATACACCTACATAACAATATTTGATAAATATACTTTTTTAATACTTGATAGGTCGACGATACATAATAATTTTGAGCATTCTCTCCGACTAAGGGCACGCGTTTAACAATTGCAACATTGTAGAAGATGCCAACGGAATCCAGCTAAAGGTTACTTTATACTCAGAAGGTATGGCTCCGATTGCTATCTAATTTGGAATTTACGAAGATTTAGTGCCAGCAGACGAAGCTACCTATGTATATCCTTCAATAGGTTTTTGACTTTATAACAAAATTATATGATGTCTTATCTAGTAAAGATATAAATAAGCTTATGTGATAACTTTTCTTATGATGAAATAGAGATCCTAGTTTCTTTTTGAGTTAAGGACAAAGTAAGTGACTTCTGACCTGCAGCTGTAGCCAAATGCCATTTAGCGCTTGTCTACTTATAGAATAGAAAACTAAATTATATGGGATTGACGTAAATTTTGACACTTGTCAATGTCATCCCCATACATTTAGTTTTCTATTCTCTCTGTCGACAAGCGGTAAAGTGGCGTTTGGCTAAAGGCACAGAATTATTAATATGTTCTATTTTTAAAAAAAATATATAAAACCACTGAGTCTTCAAATGTATCCGCTATTAAAATTGGCTAGCTTGATGTGTGAGATTTCTAATATAATAGTAACCAACAACATGCAATGTTTTTCCCTAAAGGCAAAACTGTACTTAAAATTTTCTTTCTCATATTCCTCGTTACCGAAAGTCACAATGGTCTCAGTAATCTACCCAAGTTCATGATCATCCACCTCGCTATCACCAATAGCTCACCATTGAGTCTTCGACAAGTTCGGTAAATCAGTACACCCCATAGATATAATCCCAATTTCCGCTCCGATCATATTCATTAATGACCATTGTATTCTCTCTTTCTCTCTATTGTCTAGCTCACCTATTATCTACCAAATAAGCATCAGTTTATTTTTACTAACAACAACATCAATGGATATTGACAAACAAACTATTGTTTTATACCGGTCCTCCGGTGCTTTTGTCTGCCTTTAATATATAGTCCAAATTATAACTTGTAAACAACGTTAGGATCCTAATACAAATTGTGTAATGCCTAAACCAGGTTCCGAAATGATGTCATCTTTTTAATAACAATAGATCCAATGAAACTTTTTGGGTGATTTATACTGAAAGTCTATGTTCGTCATAGCAGATTTAAAGGACATGCTTTCATTTGTTAGGAAGTGGATACGCTGAACCGAATTTTCCCCCCACTAAAGTCCCGACTACACCTGTATCAAATATTGTCGCTTAAAACTGAATATGAAATACACCAACATATAAACGATTGCAGCACATCACTTGAAGTTTTGAAGCTTCACCACTCCATAGACCACAAAGGTTATGTAAACCTTTCCCAACTGAAGTGAACCCCGACCTCTAATAGTCTAACTGGTACAATTATCGCTGAGCAATGAGCATAGGTGGTTCAGTAAAAGGTGGCTAACCTCGAGAGCTCGCGTATTGAGAGTAAGGACAAACCCGTTGTTATGAACTCACCATTGATCGTGATCGTTATTTTGATACCCACGTTGACACATATTACATCTTCGTGATTAATTTGCAGATTATCTGAATTAAACCTTGTTTTTGTGCTGTTTTGGTACCTTTTCCCCTGAAGCGCTCTAGTTATAGTCTTCTGATACAAAGTTCTATTAGGCACTGTAGGACAAATATTTTATACGTAGAACTAAAAAATTTCCAATCCAATTTGTTCCCTAATAAGTTAGTATCATTGGATAACTGAAGAAAAGAACTATTAGAAATACTTTAGCGGTTAAAGTTTAGCGAATGCTCATATCATGAAGCGTTAAGCAATAAACACATTTAATGATACGTATACTACCGTATATAAAGTTCAAATTGTCAAATTAAGTCATCATTGTAGTCTAGATTGCCTATGAGCCTGCCTCAAACAAAGGTCGACTGTGCCTAAGGCATTTTGATTAAGTGAAGCCGCTACACTAGAGATATAACGGTACACTACAAACCACTCATTTTGAAACTGAAATTAGAATTGAATTTGATTCCTATCATGGAAGTAACTTTCATTAAACATCGCTATTTATATGGCGAAGATCTAACATCGTCACATGAAGTTGTAAATAGTATTATGTCATTACAAGAATCAAGGATATTGTAATAAATTATACTTGGAACTGTTAAAAAGAAATAATATAAATGAGGTCTAAATAAAACTGATCTTTCACCTAAAATTTTATATTTGTGTATCACAAAATACCTTAAAAGTTCACGTCGTAATATAACATTTTGCAAAAAAATAAATAAATTGACACCTTTGTCTTTTTATCATCCTAAAAATTTTCTTATACTGCATTCCACGTCATTACTATCTTATGATCCTCCAACTTCGCAAAGCTCCAATTTATCACCGCTATGCTATATTTCGTTGTAGTCAGCAACTAACCGGCTAGACCCCATGGTTATTATTGTACGGTACACTCGACCGTAACCGAATGGTTCCACGTTATTCGTAACATTCTAATTTAGCACGGCAAACGTTTTTATTAGGACTACAACCACTTCCGCACTCATTTGAATAACTTGTGCAATGTGATCTAAATGTCACGTCATGTCACATTTTGGAGACATGTTACACACCAACAGTATCTACTATTAACATTATAGGTACGTTCTTGAACTTTAATGCCCTTAAAACTCCTCAATTGTTCATCTGATTACAAATGAACTCAGTACAATAACGACAGCACAATTTCCTATCAGAACACCGCCAGTGACCTTTCACACGATTACCTAATGCAAACATCATAGATCACGAAACCACCGCACATGACTAGCAATTTAAAAATGTCAGACCCAATGATGAAGTACAAAGAATCGGTTACCTACTGAATAACAATAATAATTGTGATAAAATAATAATGTCTAATAAGTACTCTGTGTAATTCCGAAGGCATTAGCGTAATCCAAACATAATGTCCGCATTAATGACCCACATATGGAAATCACTACTTAAAGTGGAAATTGTATAATAGCACAACGCTGAGATAGACTCGCTTGACTAACCACGGTAATTTGTTTGCAGATGTCAGTCCGCTCCGAAAGTAATGGATAGCCACAGTAGATCGGCCTCGCCGCGCGAGCCCATGAGGCCGCAACATCGACCTCCCTCCCCGCCGTCCTCGCCAGGCGCCTTCGACAACAGGGCCTACCAACACGACGAATCAGACCCCAACCATAATGACTCCTTCGCCTCAAACGGTCCACAACAAAACGGGCACACGAAAGAACCGAATGGTGAAACCAAAACCTTGGAAGCAGTCAATTTAGAACTGATTAACCTCACGCCCAAGAATGGTAACGCGAAGAAGAAGGATGTGGAGGTGGACATGAATGCCACCAACCCATACGACGAATACTTCGTGCCAGTCAACGAACATAGGAAATACATGAGGTTAGTGGATGTTGCTATTGTTACAAGCATTGGCATTTATAAAACAATTGATTCAACTATTTGTTTGAAAAATACTTAGTACGTACAAACAAACGACGTGCGACATGAAACTCTATTAATACACGATCCTGTTTTCATTAACATTCAACAAAATGCATAACATGTTTGGCAAAACTAATTGCAATTTGGATTTCAATTCAATTACGATAAAATCGAATAGAATTTTGTGCTCCGAACTAATGCCCGTTACTCGATTAAGATCCAGCGGATACAGAGTCGCAATGAAATTTTTATTAGAATTGTCTAGTTGTTCCTATTTGATGAACCTCTCAGCTGTTTTATTTTAAAGACACATTTATTCAAAAAGACTTGTCATTAAAATTAGTACAGAAATTAGAATTATAATCTGGGTAATTTACCTTGCTTACTCCCACTGCTGCCGATTTGCCTATTTACAATATTCATCATCACCAACAACCTATAATGCCCACTGCTGAGCAAAGCCTCTTCTCACATAGAGAAGGTTTAAGCATAAATCACCACGCTTGCTAAAAGTGAGTTCCCGATTTCAAACTTATAATTAGAAATTATAAGCCCAGGTTTTCTCACGATGTTTTCCTACAGTTGTTAGTGGTGTCTGAATAATCTTAGAAAGTACATATAACTCGGAAACATCACATCAGTCACATTGGTACTTGCCGTTGGTAGGTTTCGAACCAGCGCCCTCATGCATGATAAGCGCGGGCGTGTTAAACCTCCAAGCCACCATGACACTATAATATTACCTATCACAAATCTCCATATTATTTTCGATCACAAATTAGTAATCACAATATATTAGCTAAAGAATGAACTAAAGTCTGCCTCGTTGGCCGAGTGGGCACAAGTGCGACTGCTGTTTAAGAGGGTGTGTTACTGGGTTTTTAAAAATCTCAGTAGTAGCACGGAGTCTGGATATGTGTCCGGTATATTGCAATAGGCTCACCCCCTATTATATGGGACTCATAACATAAATAGTGAAAAGTGGGTGTTACATTGTACAGTGGCATTTAGTGCCGTAATGTGCACCTCGGCCTACCCCTTCGGGGATAAAAGGCGTGATGTTATGTTATGATGAACTAAAGTAAGGCTGAGTGCTGAATTCTCATAGGTTCAATGTTCTTAATAATTGACTTCCATATCTCATAGTGTACAGTACATTAAATAATGTTTCTTGTTTTTGTTCACCATATAATGTCACGGCTAATGACGGTGGGCTCTTCATTGAGTAATACTAATAATTGAAGCTATAAAGATCTTGATATTACGTTAACTTTACTTACAAATTACTCGATGATGGCGTAAAATTATTATTTAATAGAATTACGGAAGGTTGGTTGTCCGTAGCCCTTATATAATGTGACTACATAGAAGAGATCAATTTTCATGTCGATAAAATATTTTAATGAAGGTTTTTTTCCGTCCCAGTTCTTGGGGAGAGATGATCTGGATTTGTGATTAACGTAACCTTAGAGTTTTGTTATTTATTTATTCATAGGATTAACACTGACATATGACTGCCTCATGTCTGTCGTGCCTGCGACTGCCGGGCAAAGGGTTAAATTCCCGGGTCGGGCGAAGTATTACTGGGTTTTTACAAAATTCTCAGTGGTAGCACGGAGTCTAGAATTGTGCCCGGTATATGGCAATAGGGTCACCCCTTGTTACATGGGACTCTAACATAACATAAAATAGTGAGAAGTGGGTGTTACATGGTACAGTGGGTGTTACATTAAGTGCCGTAATGCACCTACTCCTTTGGGAATAAAAGGCGTGATGTTATGTATGTTCTTTTATTATTTATTCATAGGATTAATGCTGACAATATTACCACATATATTTTCAATGGATACAGTCTATTACACCTTTATTTTGTAAAATAGGAACTTCATTCTTTCATTACCGAAAATAACTCAAAAACAACTACAAGTTTAAAATCACAGCCAATAATAAAAACGAGTGTAATTTACATTACTCAACCTAGCCTAATTAGGTATACTTATTTATTTTATCTTAAAACATTGCACAAAATCTTGGCTTGAACGCAGGTACTTAAATAAATATCAAGTTATGATTTCGTCAATCTGAAAACACAGTTTGCAACAACATTTAAACAACTCAAGGTCGAAACACCTACACCAGCTTGTTAATTCTTTTAATTATCAGTAGATAGTTTCTTAGATATTAACAGTGGTGTCCAAAACAGACACTATTATGTGTTGTAATGCCCCTAAAGTGGCCCTTAACAATAGAAGCTAAAATGCCTTCTTAAAAGTGAATTACTAAAGAGCTTTCTATTTAAATTTTATTGAGATTCATCAGTCTTTCTTGCCATTATTTTAGTTCACTAAAAGTTGAATCAAATCATAAACATAACTTTATTTAACACATGGATATTCCTTAAATAATATTTTTATTATATATAATATACTAGTACCTACTTTATTTTTTTTAAATTTTATTTTAATGTCCGTCTGGTACATTAATTTAAAACTTTAGCCACGTGTTTCTCTTTTCTCACAAAATTAAATACTTTCGACGATATATTAATTGGAAATGTTGTGTGACATCACAGCGTGCCACATTTTGTAGCACGTTATGACGTAACAACCTCCCACTCCTAAACTTAGCGGCATTTTATCTACGTATTGCAACTTAATACGAGAAAATAAAAAATACGTGTCTAATATTTTTTCATTATCTAACTGACGGACTAATTAGATTTTTAATTTTGATACCCTGGGTATTACCCAATTGTTTATTTACAACATCATTAAAGCCTAATCTAGACGTAACCGAAATTGTTCCTTGCAATACGAGGTACGTATGACATGTCATATTTCCAAAATTCGCCATCAAGTTTTCACAAAGCTATTATAATTATCAGAGGACATGGAACTCGTCTCCATGGAGCGTGTCTTCCATTGGTCACAGAATTTCCGCATCACTACCGACTCCTGAATAGTCTTGACTCTTAGTCCCAAGGTACACGACCGAACTGTGAAATTGTAATTAGCATTTCCTTGTCTAAACATATAAAAACTATTCATTAAGAATTTATTTTATTTTCGCACACCTGGCAGTCAGGAAAATACTTTTTTGCTTCGGTCGTCAAAATTTGACGTCTCGTCTTGTGTCGCTAGTCAAATTTTTATTTGACAATAGCTTTCGATAATTTACATGGTTGTAACATGTGAAGCTGAAAATATCTATGATTTATATTTGACTTAAGCAAAATCTACACTTTTTTGTAAGTATCTAAAGTGGATGTTACATTTAATATATGGTGCATCTGCCTAGGCCTCCCGAACACTATAAGGCGCAATATCACAATCATATGTGTAATATAACCATTAACTTTGTTACAAAGACCTTCACAAACACTAGTAATATTTTCCACTTCAATTATCAAACAAAACTAATAATTAAATTATAGTAAAATGTAAAATAATTACAAAAACGTCAAAATGAAGTAATTCATCATTACAACACCCAATGAACCGTTCAATTATGGCTTCGTGCCGTGTCGATGCGCTGCGTTTGCGCAACTCAGCAAAAAGGTTCACACACAACGACCTCTTTGGTATGTAAACATTAATTAAATGACAAACACAATTAAATTATGGAATGCTATTTGAAATTGTTCACTATGATAGTGTATAAAAAGAGTATTATAAATAAATAATACAAATATACAATTAGCAAAAGAATTTAGTAAATATGCAGATAAACATGTAAAGAGTCAATCTTTAGTTTGGAGTATGGAGTAGTAGAGTCTTAGTATGCAGACAGTAGCCATTATTACAGTAAACTAATTTTTGCCAGCGATTTTGTGCACATAAATAGGTGAGTCCCGTGTTTACCGTTCCTGTGGGAATTCAGGGAATCCTTCTCTTAGTGTTACCATACACTCCCCAAGAAACTTACATGTTAAGATTCAGCTTCTTAGGTCCGGTTATGCGTTCTTAGTTTCGGCTATGCGTTGTCTATCGGTCACTCAGTCAGATAGTTATCATCATTCATCAACAGCCTATAAATGCCCACTGCTGAGCAAAGCCTCTTCTCACACGGAGAAGGTTTGAGCATTAATCACCACGCTTGCTCAATGCGGGTTGGCGATTTCAAACTTATAATTAGAAATTATAAGTCCAGGTTTCCTCACGATGTTATTCCTTCACCGTTTGTCAGTGGTGTCTAAATAATCTTAGAAAGTACATATAACTCGGAAAAAGTCACATTGGTACTTGCCGTTGGTAGGTTTCGAACCTGCAGCCTCATGCGTGAGAAGCGGGCATCTTAAACCTCCGGGTCACCACGACAGACAGTTATACAGTGAAGGAACTAAATCTCTTTCTAAACAGACGTGCTAACTATCTTGTAGTCAGTCTTACAATTTCACCACTTTAGAACCTACTAACTTTACCTAGCCAGATATGATTTAAATGACTTTGTGACTAACTTTAATCCTAGTGTCAACAAAACAAAGATGGCGCTATCTAGATCGCAAAGCGCAAGGACCTGTGTTTGTTCGACTTCTTCTTTGTTATCTTAAGCGTTGACTGGGCAATCCGTGCTAATATTATAGATGCGAATATGTGTTTGTTTGTTTTGCTTCTCCTTTCTCCTTCTTTTACATCGCAACCGGGCGTTTTATGGTACGATTTTTGTTTCCGATAGACGGTTAGGAAGCTGGAGAGTGATATTGGCTACTTTTTCACTTTAATCGCATGAACGGAAAGCTAGAAATATGTTTAGAATATACATATATCATCTGTGGCATTAATCCTTTCAAAATCTACAAAGCAATGACATTGTGAATATAGAAAATAAACAATTAGAATTAAGGAAAAATACGAATAACTATTTTAGCACACTTGCATGTACGAGGATCATCTGCCACAAAATACTTAGTTTCCGAAGTTCGATGCGGTCGACATTACGCCATCGAACTTAATCGAAGC